ATTCAGTGCCCTCCTCTAGTCATCTTAAAGTTGGCATCTTTGTAATAATGGGATATTTGTAACAGTAGCAGAAACAGTTCCATGTGTCACCAATTCCGTTGCTTTTAGGCAGGAAATCTTTGGAAGCTAGAACTTGCAGTCTCTTCTGTCTTTGTTTCTTCTTGCCCTTTCTGAATTTATCTCAAATAGTTATATAAAGATCTGACCTTACTTCTACATTTGTATAAAGCTATGTTTCATTCCTGTTGGCACAATAGAGACCTACAGTTACCAGAAATTTTGGTTACTGATAAGCTTAGAATACTCAAATAATAACAGTTACATAAGCGCCGTTTGAGCTTTTCAGAGGGAAATGGATGGTCTATGTACCTCGTAACTTCTTTGATGAAATGGACAAATCCAGAAAAACCTAGTAAAAGATTTTCTTTGTGGCTGTCTTATTCAAAGTGATGGGGATGTGTAGCATATCAGCTGTGATTTTCTTTTTATGGTGATGACTGTACACCCCACAAGGTAGTAAAAACAAAATGCGAAATCGAATTAAGTATGCGACAACTACCATGCAAATGACCTGTATCACTGAGTGGTGGTTTATTCTAGCATTTGCATTCTGGAATAGCCAGATTTCCCCCTTTTGCTAATCATGGAGATCTTGTGAACATGTCTTCTTTTTGGATAGATCCAGTTGAAAGCTAACAATCTTCATATAGAACGTAAAATTTTATGAAGCAATTTTCTCAGACTTTATTTGTTTGTATTGCATCACCTCTTGAAAATTGCACCAGGTCTTAATTCATCAAACATTACGCAAAATCTTCTATGCCAATTTGAAAAGATATTTTCTTGCACCCTTTTGTGAATTGATAAACATTCTATCTTCTGCAACTAAAAGCCTTATAACACAGTAATACTTATGGTTTTGGCATGCTTGTATTGCATGTCATTATATTGTATGTTGGTCCGTCTCAGCAAATAACTTTCATGGACGCAATACATAAACCAATTATGTACACTTCGCTTTGTGGTGATGTGGAACTCCAATTGGAGAACAGTTGGAAAATTCACTCAAATTGTGTCTTCCCATACTAGGTCTCCTTTTTCTCCTTCACTGGTCCTCTAGGTATTTTTGCAAGAACATCAGCTTCAACTTTCCTATATGTGCTCCTCATCTGTTTGTACAGTTTACCAGCAAGATTATCTGCTTCTTCCTCGTATTGCTCGTAGAGGAATGGTAGGGTTTCCGCACAGAGTATGCCTGGTTGAAATCATTGAAAATTCATGACAAAATCAGCTCAATGATCATCACTCAAAAAATGGAGGGTGGAGGAACTTTCTTACTGAAAAACAGGAGGTTCAAGGTGCTTATATAATTCCCTATTACTCCGAGGATCCAGAGAGAAATCAATCCCTGGAAATTAACAAAAAGTGAGGAAGCAGTCATAATTTTTTGCAAGTTCTTGTCTGATGGAGCATCAGAATTATTCATTTCTTCACTTACCAGAAAGAAGAGCTTTGGTTCATTTCCACAGGCTACACGAAGAAGTTCGGATAAAATCTGGTTAAATTTTGAGTGGAAGGTTGAAGCAACTTCTGTAAATGTGGACTCTTTCAATACGGTTTTGGGAATGTTTGGAGGAGTCCTGAAGAAAGATAACCCCAAAGTTAAGTTTCATCCAACAATCCAGATGCAAAAAAAAAAATATATATATATATGATGAAGTAAATTATTTCTGGCAAATTACCCCTTGTGTTTACTCTATTCAATTCCATGAACTTTCATACTTCAAATGCGAATGTAGAATAAAGAGGTGGTAACACGCATAATATCAAGTAAAGAAGTTACCATTGGAAGAAGTTTGCCGCTGTAGACCAAATGAACAATGCTAACATTGAAGTGATCAAGACATGGCAGAGCAGAGTTATGAAGTTGTATTCAACAACCTCAAACAGATACCACACAACTGCAACTCCAGCTAGAACGGCACCTGCAACTCTTTTCTTCCTCCATAACAACAAATCAGCAGCTGCAAACTCAAATCATCATGACCCTTTCATCAATCAAATGCAGAAAAAAGAAGGATTAAACTAAAACCATAGGATATGTATATTTGGCTAGTGTCCATGAATTTTGAGCTAACTGAGTGGAGTTAGCATCCAATGTGCGAAAATAGTACATATTTTCTCGTACCAGCAAGTTCAATGTGCTTGGATTCATAATACCTTTGCCACCTCCTAGAGCATCATGAATTGACCTTTGGCCACGGCCAAATAGCTTCACCTTTGTTGCTGTTCCATTGTCAGAAGCACGCAGACGAGAAGCCATGTTAAGAACGGGAAGTTATGAACCGAGATGGAATTCATCCCACCAAAAGTTATCAGATTTGAGTTTATAGTAGATTGGCCGGTTCCAAGCTTGTTAACAAAGGAAGTAACAATGCCAGAAGAAAGGGATTTCTTGAGCATGATTTTTGTATTAACTTCACATTCCCGCATTTCACAGATTGGTTATGCTTTTTGGTGTCTGACAAAAGGTAACATACACGTCCTTTCCTTGGTGGCTTCTTGGGTCCAGTTATAGAACATACGAGTGACTTTACTTTGTGATTGTTCTACTGCTTCTCTCCATAAAAAACACTAATCCGATAAATGCCAATCTGCTATAAATTACATTTACAAGTTGATCACAACAGTTAAAGAATCTTCCTTTTCTTTGATTTGATCTATATAGTATCAAAAGAATCAACATTTATAAGGTCAAAAGCTATCAACTTAAAACTGGGAATGTCGATTTGCATCTTGCTAGGATGCAAAGATATAAGAAATGGAACACAGCGAAATACAACAGACACTTCCTAACTCCACAACAATCTTCGCCTTTGAAAAAAAAAAAAAAAAAGCTTCAAAACAGTTTCCACATGGTTGCAATTTTCCTCTGTCAACATAATTATATATTTTTTGCCAGACGGGACGGCATTGACGCATGTGAAGACGTTGGAGTCAAGAAACAAAAGGGAGCGACCCCATCTGATTCAGCAGCCGCTTTGTGCCAAAATAGGGATATTAATGGTCGTTCATTATTCTGCTGAACCACATGATCACAAATTAAGAAAGCAGCCTTAGGAGGAATTTAAGAGACATTAAATGATTACAAATTAAGAAAACAGCCTTGGGAGGAATTTAAGAGACATTAAATGACTACTAACAGCTCCATATAATAATTTCCTAAAGGAAAAAGATTAATCTTCTGATCCTATGTCCACCACACTATGCAAGGTTTATGAACCTCAAATCAAGCTGACGGAGAATCCAAAATCAGAATATACCTAGGCACAACAACAATATTTGCCTAGCGAGCCCTGTTTGGATTGTCATTTTCTGCCAGAAAATTGCGTCGTTTTTCGTGATTACATTTTCCTATTATCTTTTCCCCTCACATACATTAAATCGCTATAATAATTTTTTCATGAAAAATAATGAAAAATGCAATCCAAACGGGGATATAAAATTTTGTGTTATTGACTTGAGAGAGTAACTAGGCTAAGCACATTGTGTGTTTGATTATAAACACAATCACTACAGGTCTAATAGATCATTACCTGGACTAGCAAACTAGCATGCAACTCAAATTCTTGATACCATAACTAGGGGGGAGTGCCCGCGCATTGCGCGGGTGTTTGGTGCCTGTAGGGAACGTGATTTTTTTGTTAAACAAACAATAGTACATTGTGAGAAGAAATAAAATTTAGTACGAAAGATAAACGATATAATCAATCAATTCACATAGAGTTACAATAAAACTGTGTCAAATTGAAGGTTGTTGAAAATGCAGAAAGGCAGAGCAACACTTAAAGCTAACCTTATTTCAGAATCCCCACTGAGAGCTCTTTCTTGCTGTTGCTCCAAACCTATAAGATTATAACCAACCCAGACTAATCGGGGTTAGGCGACGAGAAAAATGCTATCTTGTAGCTAGGCAACGCGATAAGAGTCGCTAATTGTAGTTACTAAGAACACATCGACAAAATTAAGGAAGGAACTGAAAAATTAGAAGGGTGAAATCTAACCTCACGCTGAACCACCAGGAGCAGCTGTGATTGAAGAGCATTCTGAGCTGATTAGTATGAAGTCAGGTAGAATTATCTCAATCCTGAAATGCAAACATGGAGAAATTGATAATTAACCGTTTAGGCATTAACATACCAACGGTTCGGCAATTGAATTAGGTGTAATTAATGACGAAATAATAGATAATTTCAGAGTTGAACTCGGATGGAAGAGGAAACGATGAGGCAAATCATTGTAGACAAAGACGAAAAGGGAAAACTTAACTCCTAAAATTGAAAGAGGATAAACAAACGTTTGTGGCTCATAAATGCAAATTATAAATGATAGAGAAATGATTCCTACCATTGATAGAGAAATCGTTGGCACATTTCCTAAATCCGATTGTCATTCAAACGTTTCAGATAAAGCAACATCTCAAACAGTTATCTGCGGCTGAAAAGGGAAATTATTGGTAGTTAAGGGATATTTCGGTAATTACACCAACACACAAACATATATGGGTTGTACAAAATGCAAAAACGGTTGCACACTAATTACACATTCCATCAATATCCGGATGGCTCATCAATGACAACTTTAAATGTATTAAATGGGGTCATTTCAGTAAACATACCCAAATACATGCTTCCTTAAATTGTATTTAAAACTTTTAAACTAATACACAATATTTCACATTTTCACAAAGCCCCTACCTATGCGGTTAAAATTCAACCTATTCTTTGACCAAAACTCAATCTTATATAGTATAAGGAAATGGAAGTATTTTTACTAAAAATAAAAAAAAAGAAAATATTTTAGTTACATTAGCACGGAAAAAAGAAGCGGAAAAAAAAACAGAAAACGCTTTCTTTATCATGACCTTGGCTGAATAATGGCTGCCTTCCTTTCACTGGCACACTAATGATGGTCTTAAGTTCTGGCCGCCGCCAAAGCAGGACAAAGGGCATCGGAAAAACCAGCACATGCATGATGCAACAAAGAAAGATGAAATTTTTATGCTAAAAAACCTCACCTTTTGAATTAAAAAAAAAAAAGCGCTCCACTATTCAATGCTTCCTGGTCACCTAATACAATACAAGAAATTACAGTATATAACAATGGCAGCTCTTCGCATCAGCTTTTCCCTTTCGGTTTCGGAACCCAATCAAACACTCCCGAATCACCCCAAACCAATCCGAAGTTCCTCTATACCAAATGGGTCCAATTGGGTTTTCTCTATGCTCCCCATGTCAATCCCTCTTCCTCTCTTCTCCCCTGCATGCAAGAATATATAAAGCCCCAAACTTTGCGCCCAATGTCAAGAAATCCGCCCCCAGAATTACAGCTTCTTGCATGGAGACGGTGCAGAAAGGTAAAGGTACAACCTTTGGGTTCAAGAATTTGATGGCAACGTTCACAGTTAATGTTCATAGAGCAGAGGGAAGGCGCCTGAATGTGCCTTTGATTGCCCCTTTTACAATTGCCACATCAAGGCTTGATAAAGTGGAGAATGTGGCAATCAGGATTGAGTTGAGTAATGGGTGTGTGGGGTGGGGTGAGGCTCCAATTCTTCCATTTGTGACGGCAGAAGATCAGCCTACAGCTTTAGCCAAGGCAGAAGAGGCATGCGAGTTTCTGAGGCAGAGTTCTGGGAAAAGTATGTGTTTCATATTGGGGGAGATTGGTCAAATTCTTCCGGGACATCAATTTGCTTCTGTGAGTTACAGTACAGTTTATTTGTTTACCAGTATCATTTTCCTATTGACTCAAAAACAATATCATTTTCCCTGTGGTTGATAGTATTGTACTTTAATGGGCATCTGGGATATCTTGGATACCAAAAATAAAAAGACACACATCTGGGCATTTGATTGACAAAATTGGATACTTGGTGATCATCTTGCTGCATTACTTTTCTTTATTCGATGATTTTTGTCTGTCATGAAATTGTTTTAAAAGGTGCACTATTTGCAAACCAATATATCACACAATCTTTGTAGGAGAAAATGCTGTGTTTTTCTCAGTTAATTTATGGAAGAAAGAAGCATTACCATTTTACTGCCTCAAACATACGTCTCTAAGACATCCTCTGTTGCCAGTTTTCTTGCCAAAAAGTAGATGTGTCGAGAGTCAAACCAAGGATCTCTTAGTCACTTAATTTAGTACTAGGTTTCAGTGAGGTATCAATCTATGCTTTTAGTTTGTGGCTGTCAAGTTCTATGTCATACATGTCACAAGAAGTATCAATTGCCTACTACGGGGCTCCTTCTATTCTGTTTCTCCATTGTTTCCAGTTGCTGGCAAACTGAAAAAAAAATTTCATTTATTTTGTTCACTTTTCAAGTATGACACCATGTTGACTAGTTGAATTTGTTTCCCATTAACTTCAGAATTTCACTTGCTACAGTTTCTAGACCCTTTTCACTGAAAATCAGGAGAGAAAGAAAAAAGTGTAATTGGTGAATATTTCTACTTCAGCAAACGAGACATTATTATATAGAATTTCCTTAAACACATGAAGTTTGTTAAACTCGAACTAGTAACTAACCTCATGACAAGCCAAACCAAAAGCTGTCTAAGCCCTTGGAATTACTCAACAGTTTTCACTTCCTTGAAATCCCTAAATGCCTATTGCCACAACCTTTTCTACATTAGGTCCATCTACAAAAATTGCTTGTAAAACACCTCTAGTCTACAATAACATGCAGAAACATTCAATTGGCATAAAATGCAACAAAAAAAATCCTTTCAATCATTTAGTGTTCTGAATGGTTTTGTGGTACTCACCCGGTTACATTTGTCACTGAAGGTAAGAGCTGGAATTGAGATGGCATTGATTGATGCAGCTGCAACCAGCACTGGAATACCTTTGTGGAGACTGTTCGGTGGAGCTTCAAATACTATTACCACTGATATAACAGTTCAGTTATAATTTTTCTACTACATCAACAGTAATATAATTTATTACTTCTATTAACATCAAATGAATCAGATAGGTTGTAGCTGTCAAATGCATATGCTAGCGAATATTGTGATAATGGAACCAAAAATAAATGTTCTTTGATGTATCAATCTAAGTTATAAGCTTATGATCTTTATAGATTCCAATAGTTTCGGCTGCTGAAGCATCTGAGCTAGCTTCAAAGTATCGTACTCGAGGATTTAAAACATTGAAGCTCAAAGTAGGCAAGAATCAATGTGGAGACATTGAAGTGCTTCAAGCTATCCGCAAGGCCCACCCAGATTGCTTGTTCATCTTAGATGCAAATGAAGGCTACACGTCCAAGGAAGCTATTGAAGTTCTGGAAAAACTACATGGTAAAATGTCGTTCAAAATAAGTTATTGTATCCCCAAATGTGAGGAAACGAATGAAAATCTTCTGTTTTGTAGCTGTTCATTCTTAATTTGAAGGAGAAAATGAAAAGATAGAAAAATATTGTCCGCCTGTTTCTTTGTGTGTGGTTGTAACTACTGTGTATGAGAGTAAAGTACACCCTCAGCCATGCTTTTGTGATTTAAGCATCATAACATGACTATCATTGCCATCATGCAGAAATGGACGTGACTCCTATCCTTTTCGAGCAACCTGTTCATAGAGATGATTGGGAAGGTCTTGGTCAGGTTACAGCCATTGCAACAAACAAATATGGGGTGTCGGTTGCGGCTGATGAAAGCTGTCGGAGTTTAGCTGATGTTCAGAGGATAGTGAAAGAGAAGCTTGCAGATGTGGTTAACATTAAGCTTGCTAAAGTTGGGGTACTCGGTGCTCTAGAAATAATTGAGTTTGCAAGGGCATCTGGATTGGATCTGATGATTGGTGGTATGGTTGAGACTAGACTAGGAATGGGCTTTGCTAGTCATCTTGCTGCTGGCTTTGGGTGTTTCAAGTAAGCACTAATTCTCCTTTCATTTTACCAAGTATCTTGTATATTTTGTGATTATATAAAATTCTCATTGAAAGTGTTCGTTGTTCCAAGACATGCACTTATCAAATCAAATTTCTACATACTTCTCAGAGTACATTTGAGCATGGTGGTATTGCATAACTTCTAGCATTATGGGAACTAAGCTAGGTTTGGTGTTTAGGAGATGGCATATGCAATTTTCAAGGATAAATTATTGATTATAAACTCCATTACTAAAACGATTGTTCGTATGTTCTTGTTCTTGTTTCGATGATGCAGATTCATTGATTTGGATACACCCCTTCTGTTAGCAGAGGATCCAGTTCTTGAGGGTTATGAAGGTATATCAACTCATGAAATTTCTTCCGAGTCCATCTGTATGAAAATGAATTGATATTCTTGTGTGATGCTTGTAGCTTCTGCAGTGACATTTTCCTCTAATTAATAACTTGAACTTTTTCTTGGATAGTGTCTGGGCCAAATTACAAGTTCTCAAATGCTAGAGGTCATGGTGGTTACCTTCATTGGAAAAATGTTGCATGGTGAGTCTGTGACTTTTGATGTTCACGTTGACTTCATTCAGAATTTCAAGATGGATAATCTCTGCATGTACTAACATACTTTCATGTTCATGCACTTGCATCACCTATGATTTTAGATATGCTGTCATCTAAAAAGTGTGAATCAGATTACACATTTTGGTCATGGAGTTGAGGATGGTTCAAGTGGCATAAAAGTTTATAACTATGTCGTTTCCTAATCCTAATAGGAGAAACTGATAGCTTGAGTATCAATGTTTTCTATGCTTTTCTGGTATAAGATCAACCAAAAAGTTAGCTACATAATAAATTATATTGACTTAGAAATAAAACTAATGATAGTCAAAACTTGTTCTGCCTTTTTTAGCTCCTGATGACAGATTAAAATTCCCGCTTCTAATCTGACACAATAACTTTGGATCGGCTAACCACAGAATCTTCATAAAGTGAGTATAAGTATGAAAAGATAATTGGATATCTGTACTAATATTTGAAGTATGGATCAGCATTCTATATATACATTCAATCTGCTGCAGTACCTCTTATTTTTTGCTAATATGGCGTCAATCTAGAAGTTATCAAATTCGATTAGACATTGTGTTGGTGGGAGTCAAGTCAGCTGGGGCAGGGCAAGAGCCCACATTACCTAAATCCGTAAAATTATGATGCAAATTACAAGGAAGATATATGGTAAACCTGTGTGTTGTTTGTTCGTTCATCTGTATAACTTACTTTGTGTTGGATAAGGACAATGATACTCTAAAATTTGCTCTAAATTTTAATACTTCAAATTAAAAATCTCTGAAACGATTAAATTAGTATTGTCCACCTCATAATGTGGTATTTGGCATATTTTCCCTTTTATATTCTTGTATTTCAGCAGCAATAATATAACTAATGAACATTTGATGCTTAGCAGAAAAGTGAACTAGTTTTGCTCTCTCTCTTCTCCTGACTGCCAAAGAGCTGTGCTTCTTTGAGATCCAAATGCTGCCTATTTTCAGAAGGTTAGGGCTGGGACAATCTATTGAGGATGGGTTTTCTTACAAATAACTTGGGGTCCGAGGCAGAGTCCAAATATGAAAGTTTCTGTATGATGATGAGTAATGAACGTGATCTGCAAGTGCAGAAGAATCCCTTTTACATGGATAGATCCAGAGACTATAATACAGTTGGAGCAGCTTTTTGTTCCTGCAGATGTTACTCAAATGCAGAGTACTTTCTGATGCAGTTCTCATTTTACTTCAAATCATGGATGATGCTTTCTAAACTGCCCTGTACAAATTATGATGTCTATGTAAAATTTCTTCTATTAACATCCTCATATAGCATTTCTTTTCTGTTTGACTAGAACGATCTCTATGCTCATCCATTTTGTTTGGTTAATGGTTTAACATAAGAATTTCCTCTTTGTCACCGATAACAGATAAATTACCTGCATAACATGTTTTTTCATCTTTCAATGTAAATCTGATGCAAAGTGATTTTACACAATGTTGAAACTACTTATTCATCAATGGTCATTAAAGGCTGGAGTACAAGAGAAATGGACGTTAGACAATCTTGAGGGAGCTGAATTTACTTCCGTGATAGGTGAAAAAGCTGATGTTTTCAATGAACTAGTTTGTCAGGTGCTGGAGAAAACCAAATCCAAATCATGGGTTCTAATGAGTGCTGTACTTTTTGGTGGCAAGCTTACTAAGGTGCCACCACCCTCCAACCCATGGTGTATCAATTGATTCTTACGGCTGTTTAATTACAATTTACAAAGAGTGCTACACATTTTCTATTCCCCATACCAGCGATGCATATCTCGTTTGGAGAAACAATGGTAAGTTTCAATCATCAGAACAAAAGATTTACAATGGGTAAAACTTCAGCAGAAGTATTTCTGACTAGTCTGGTATATATGTCAGAATAGGAAGAGGCAGGAACGGTTGCAACCGTTCCTATCAGTTCATGGTCAAGATTTGGCTAAAAAAAATTGTAAGGTTCAGAGTTTATCTTGTACCTCATTTTTAACAACACGTGTGAGACCCACAAAATTTTGTTCTAAAATTCCACGTTGTTAAAAGTAAATTATATTATATGCAAACAAAGTTACGCCGTATGCAAAATGCACATAACCTTCGGAAATGGTTGTTTCTGCAACCGTTCCTGCCTCGGGTCCATCAGAATAATACCGCAGACCCAACTTTGTGTTGCTTCTTGTAGGAAGTCTGAGGACACTTGGGTTAATTGTAATGCATCAAAGTCGAATCAGAAGGTTCTTCAAATTTACTTCAAAAAATTTTTTTAAAAAGTTGCTGAAAAAATGCTTCCAATAAAGTCGGTGATTTAATTCTCATATCGACATCTGAACGTGGCACTTGCAAACGCCACACTTTTGCTGCAGAAACCCATCGGCAAGTACCATGCATGTAATTGTGCTTGCAGCTAACGTGTCTAGTGCTCCCATTTTCCAGCCAAACTTAAAATCGTGTAGTTTTCCTTCGTTTTAGTACAACATTTTTACAACTGGTCCTGTACTATGGCAAAGGAGGAGGGGAATAGCAACGGACTCAATTAAAGCATTGAGAATTCGGTGAGAACTAAACTATCTCCGAAAATGTTCCGGAAAATTGGGTGCATTGAGTACAAAAAACCAACGATATTAAATTCTCTTGTGAAGACACACTTTTAAAATTCTAGAATGACTATACTATTTAGTAACGTGCAACTCCGTCCATAGTAAATAAAATTATTCCATACTTTGGACGAGGCAAGATCAGATTGGTAATTAAGCAGGTGCCTCTTATTTCATCCCAGTATACTTTGAAAGTGATCTTTCACCACCAACCAAAGGAGAATATTAAATTCGAAGTAACCATTTGTTTCTCGCATGACCATTAACCACATTGATGGGATATTTATTAATGCTGCACGTAAATTATGCAAAAGTAGTTAAACACCTTGCATTTTTTTCACAAGGGGAGGCTAACTTCACCTATAAATTGAGCTCAACAACTTAGCCCAAATGAATCTCGTCCCAACTCCCTACTTCTAGTCCTCCCCCACCTAAACTGAAGCCTCGATCAACTATCAACTTTGCAAAATCCTTCAACAGGGCTAGCTAACAAAAATGAAGGCATCGCCATTCAACACAATTGGTGCTGTGCTAATGCTGCTTTTGTTGGTTGAAGCCAACTTCTCAGAAGCTGTAACCTGCAATCCAAATGAGCTGAACCCTTGTGCTGGGGCAATCCGATCGTCCTCCCCACCAAGTTCACAATGCTGCAGCAAGATCAAAGAGCAGAAGCCTTGCCTTTGCCAGTACGTCAAGAACCCTATGTTCAAACAGTTTGTTACCTCTCCCAGTGCCCAGAAAGTTGCTAAAACTTGTGGGGTTCCCATCCCTAAGTGTTGAAAAACACGAGACTGAATTAAAGCCTATTCTCGAGGGACTTTGCATCTTATAGCTTCTACATATAGCTGTATGCATGGTTAATGAATCTATCTTGCACAACTCAGCAGTGTTGTGGAAAGAATATCTATGCTTGCGAATAATGGCACACCACATATGGTGTTTGTGAGAAAATTGTGTAACGATGTACCACTATTTTGAATGCATGAAGCATCCAACTTTTCAATTAAAATCTAGTTTGGTCCCTATTTTATTAATTATTACCGGCAGCGGATGCAAGAGTAACAATAATTAATTGTGTAGTAGCAACATCTTTCTTTTGTATCACCTTGGCCAATACTTTGGAGTACAGGTGAGAAAAATATTAATTCCAAACGACAGAAAGAGTGATAACCTGCAATATCAAAGTGAAACGAAGTGGTAAAAAAAAATTTTACAAAAAAAAAATTAAAATCAGGAGCTGATAAATCACTAATCGATAAAGCTTTCTGGCCAAGCCCCAGAAAGCCTGAAAATCTTAAAGGATATCGAGGACAAATTAAGGAGTCAAATATGTCTTCCTCATTTACATGCTCAATGCCTCGACAATGTTTTAAAAAAAATATATTCCAAGAACATGATGATTTTTCTAACCTACTTAACAAATTAAAATAAATGTGAACAGAATAGCCTCCTCAGCCTAGACATGGGGTAAGTGAATAAGTGGAATAAAAGAAGAATTAAAAGAAGCCACCTATCCAACACATTTTGTCTTCTCTCTTAACCCTTTCTTGAGAGGAGTTTGGTAGGGGTTGTAAGTTGTAAGGGAATGTGATAGTCATTCACTCATCTATAAATTGAGGTGAGCATTAGTAGAGGCAAATGAACGAAACTCATCCAAGAAAACTCCCCTCCAACTCTGATTACCGAATTCAGAGCGCACTCTTCAGAAAGCTAAACCAAAAATGAAGGCATCATACCTCGCAGTCTTTGCCATGCTGGTCCTCTTCTTGTCTGATCAGCCAAATGTCTCGATCGCAGTAACATGCACCCCAAATTCAAATGAACTGAGCCCTTGCGCTTCGGCTTTCAAATCACAAGTGAGTCAAACTTGCTGTATTAAGATCAAGGAGCAGGAGCCTTGCTTTTGCAAGTATGCCACAGACCCCAAGTATCGAGCTTTTCTTGACTCTCCCATTGCCCAGAAAATTTCTAAAGCTTGCAACATTGCCATCCCCAAGTGTACCTAAAGATACTACCATATAGGAGAGTCTTCCCCTGCTGGAATTCCCAAATAATTTTCCCTATCTTACAGCTTTAATTTCTAGCTAAAATAGTAGTATCCCCAATTGCCTTTTGTGATGTATTTCACACAATAATGTCACTCAGTTGTGGCCTCTATGCATCTGTGTTTATCTTTTGTACAATGGTGCACTAGCACTAATATATATTACAAAATGTTTGCCACGCGCATTAACAAATTTCTTTAGCAATTCGATACAACTCAGTCCAACTCGCCGATTTATCAAAAATACGCATCAAAACCTTGCAACTCGTCTGATATCGACCGAATTATTGTGAGTCATCTTGAATATAGCTAAATCTGTGATTCGAAGATCAATATCATACTGATTTCCATCGTTCCGGTTATGTTTTGGCCGAGATGACGAACCATGATTAGAACATCCATAAGTGCAAACATAGAAAGAAGTAAAATTTATTTTTCCCCGTATGTCCGCACAAGTTCATCTAACCACAAGCCAAAAAGTAAGTCCATCACAAAAGGCAGAGCCCATTTGAAGAAAAAAAAAAACTTACATAATAGATACATCCTCATGTTTATTAGGTTTTAAGAAATTATAATAGAAGAAGAATTGAGAGTCTGATAAAGCCATTGTTAAACTGAGGAGAGGAGGAGAATAGAAATAGGAGCAGCGTGTGAAGTGATTCTTATTTATGACACGGCGAATTGTGTACCTTTCGACCCACCTGTAGACCGAATCTACTCAAGTTCTTGTCCCAACGCATCAGTTGTATAAAGTTATTATTCAACAAAAAAAAAAAGTTGCATAAAGTTGATATTTCACAAGTAGAACGTTATTTTTCAGACAAAGAAAACAACCAAGACTATATCTAATTTCATAAGTAGATGGAATCACCACCAAACCTCCAAACACCATCTGTACTCTATGCTACGTTTTAGGTGACTAGTTCGAAGCCGGACGTTACGGAGGAGCAAGTGACCCAATTTTTCATCTCAATTGGTGCTCTGCAATCCGTTCATATCTGCAGAGATGGAATTTCGCCAAACTGCTGTGTTTTATTAATTTTCTCCTCCTTCGGATGGTATTTCCTCTCTGCTCTTTATTGAATAATAAATCTTATATACACTGATAACACTGTGAATGCACGGCACATAACTAAAATTAAAATTCTTGATATCAATTGAACAAAAACTTGTTCCGCGGATCGTGTTTTGAGACAAAGAATCAATTTCTACTGACCCATATTTGGAATATTCGCATTTTTATGCGTACGCCTGAGTCATCTCAAATCACAAGTTATACAAACTCCCTGTTTGGATTGTCATTTTCTGCCGGAAAATTATGTCGTTTTCCGTAATCACATTTTCTTATTATTTTTTTTCCTCATATACATCAAATCGTTACAGTATTTTTTCCATGAAAAAGGCAATCCAAACGGGCATTAAAGGTTACTAAATACGATGTCACAGGATCCCCCTACTGCTATACTGTTGTAGGTTTGCTTTCACATATAAATATGTTGTATATTTATGTATAATTATTATGTAGAGAGAGGATGCTGCATGGGAAAAGTCGAATCCTGGAAGGATTTAGCTTTCAGTCTCATACGAGGAAGTGCAAACCTTTAGGAAACTATATGACTCCCGCTCTTTTTTGCACTAATTATGATCTGGGCTTTTACGCCCAACCCATAATCACTCCCTCATGCCTCCTGTTACTTGGGCGTGTTTTCTAAGTCCAAAAAGTGTCGTTCGCTTCATTCATACAGTGTAGTCTAAAGCATGATCGTCGAATAGAATGCTCGTTCAACATTTTCGTTGCCAACTCTTATATTAAACTAAGAATTAAACTCCTATCCTGCCCTAATATTAAACTAATTATAAGTTCTTTACGTATTTCATGAGCAATGTGCTTTTTGTTTTTTGTCACTTCAAATGAGAGAAAATAGCCTCACTTAGAACGAGAGAGTCAAAGTGTGTTGTTCAATTATTATGTAGCTTAACATTTTCGATTATTGTGACAGAAGACCCCATATCAAAGTGTTGAAATTAGTCATGCGTTACGTACAAATTCGTGAGCATATATGTATGCGTCAAAATGTCATTATTATGAATGACAATTGAGATTAATACTAGTGTATGTTGAAAGAAACTCACATGTGGTAACTGGAATCTGAAGCTCATTTTATGTGTCTATTTCAAAGAACTAACTTGTTATACATTCTCTCTGGTAAATGTCTATTGCTTGGAGGTAAGTGATTTTTTTAAAAATATTAAAGATGTTAAGTGAAATTGTTAGAAACCTTAAGGGAGGTTTTTGAAATTACCAAAAAAAAAAAAAAAAAGGCGACAAGGGTCCTTGCACACCATATCCTCGACTCTTGCAGAAAAATCTCACACTTAACTCTCTGGTTGGATATTATTGTTATTCATCAATTAGGTACGTAAACATTGCTGTTGTATAAAGTAACTTGTAAAAATCCTTGGTGCACTCAAATTCAATAATGAAAGGTGAATGGAATTCAGCAGCATGTAATTAACAAGAACAAATCCAATAGACTCCAAAATTCTAGGAGTCTCCAAAATCAATATACAGGAAAAGAACATAATTCCCTAATCTAATTGCACAAAGGAATTGTTATCTTTCACAGATGAAGAAGATCTGAGATTTGGTTCCAACCGACAATCCATGGCCTCTTATCAGATGGAAGCACGAAATTGAGCTCAAACATCTCTTTTGACATATTTCCACTTTCGCATAACCCTACAAGCTTGGCAACTATGTCGGCACTCTCTTTAACGTGCTTTTCATCATGTGGATTCCTCCAGAGCTTATTGATGAACTGGATCCTCCTTTGCTGTCCTTCCAGTGGAACATCCCATTTTATGTACAGTGCATCTCTTTCTTCCTCTGGCAAACGCTTCAACCTCTTCGCAAGAAACTCCCTTTCCCGCTTCAATGCTCGGATGCTGAACAAAGAACAATGTTTGCAATAAACAACAAAGCAACGTGTGATCTATGTTGCAATCGTCAAAGGTAAAAACACCACATTCCATGTCTAGAAATGAGAAAGAACCTGGATGACAAAGAGATTGTGGGCTCATTTCCCGTGTGAGCCGGGCTTGCATTTCCAAGCTCTGCTAGATGCTGTTGCAGCCAAGTCAAACGCCTCAGTTCTACTTCCAAGTATATCTGGTCAGCAGGGTCACCTTTAAACAATAAGTAAAACTGTGTCCTATGAATTATGGAAACATTACAAACATCCCATAATTCAATAATCTGCTGTCTTTGCTCTCTAAAAATTGCTTGCCAAGATGCTGGAGATTCCTCTTGGATTGGAGGGATGCCTTCATCATTCTCCAAATCATATCCAGCTGCTTCATTTGCTTCAAGCTCAAGTACCTGAATACATATGTAGATCAAAATCAAACTAATCTTTGTATTTGTGGATAGATGACAAGGAAAAGAACTCTCCTCAGTTAACCAGTCATGCATTTCTTCACTTAGAAACAGATTTCAAGAAGAATGTATCTTGAAAATGGAAATACCTGGCATACAAGAAGTTGCTTTTGGTACTGGAGCTTGGCAACACGCTCTTTAAGTTCAGTAACATATGCTTTGATGCTTCTAACATTCTCTTCTGCTGCATGTTGAAACATCTTCTGCATTTTCCTCATGTTAACAGAACTTGAACGTCTGTATGGAGTCCCTTCCTTTGAAGAAGTATCTTCACTCTTTGAGGGAGTCTCTTTCTCAGCCACTGGTTGAGCTTCATCATATTGTGGAGCATGATTTTCTATATCATTATCCAATACATCTTGAGTAGCCGACAGTGGAGAGCATGGTGATCTTATGAAGTTCTGCCTGTTTATACTGTTGCTTGAAGCAAGTGGAAGCAACTTTTTCCTTTTCAATTGATTCTTGGACTTCAGAGGCGAGTTCTCAGAGTTTGGTTCCTGTTCTGTGTTGGCAGGAAGAGACATAACCAATTTGTCAATTGATCTCTGAACATT